GATACATATGAATGCGTAGCTCCAGAATCTAATAGTACAAGTGCTGAAATGCCAAAGATAGAAAATTTACCAGTCACAACTGATGGATTTGTCTCAGCATCTGCTCTGGTGATAGTAAATACCCTAGTTGGCACCTTCTTCTGCTCTATGGGATTTGGATTACCTAGGAATGCTCTAGCAAGGTGTCCCACTTTTCCACAGGCATAAATGTCCTAGTCTCTGTGGGACATGCTCCTGTATGCTGTCCACCACATCTAGGACAAGATGCTTGTGTTGTTCGGGCTTTGCCTTGATCTATCTTTGAACGATTACCCTGATCCCACTGTTGCTATCCTTCCTCGGTTGAAACTTAGGTTTCTGACCCTATCCCTGGAATGATCTTTTCTTATCATTTTTAGGCCAACCCTGTCCATAACCTTGTCTAAACTGTCGTCGAGCCTCTTGAGCATGACTAATTCTTTGCTCGGCTTGTTCTGCAACTAATGCCTTCTCTGCCATTTGTGAGGATGACATCCCATGGGTGGTTACGAAATAACTCTTTAAATCTATCCCAAGTCATAGCATTCACATCTTCAATGCTACTCATCATTTCCAACCAGTGTTCAGCACTACCTCGCAACATAAAGAATGCACAAACTACTTTCTCCACTTCTGAGACTCAACTATATCTAAACATGTTTTCTAAAGTTCTTAACCAATCAGTGTGGTTGGATCTAATGCATCCTCAACTATTGGTGGGCTTAATTTTCTAAATCTTTCCCCAACTGTCTCAATTTGTTCAGCTCTTTGTGGTGGTTGCACGAATTCAGTCCTTTGTTGTTCTCCCCTTTCTCTTTGTTGCATTAATTGTTGAATTTGCTATGCCCTCCACCAGCTCTGTAAATCTATCAATAACCACATCCCTATTCTATGACACTTGCTTCTTGCATTGCAGTTCAATTTCTCCATTGTATACACTTCTTCTTACCATCACTGCGATATATATTTACAAAACAATCATAGCCAATATCATTCATGAAGTATGTAACAAAATAAAACTTATTGGCTTACCTGTCCTCTTTCATACTCGGAGATCATGTACATGGACAGTCTACAGAATTATAACCTTGCTCTGATACCACTCTGTCATACCCCGTTCATATAGATAACAATATTAGTACCAGCGTAAGAATAAGATCGCTGACTTGACCTAGACGTCCAAATTCACCAACACGTTTTTTTTTTTTTTTTGTTACTAAGACGAAAGCATTTCAAAAAGTATATCTGAAAATAAGGATCATAAGACCATAGTCCAACATATTTATCCTGACGTTGTAAAAGTATTTACATGACATTTCAAAAGCCATACAGGATTCCTAAAATATAATACAACTAGAGTGTACAAAATAACCCTACAGGTCGTCATCCATGTATACCAAACT